AATATTTATGTGGATGCGGATGGGTGATGTATCATGCACACAAAGATCACAAAGACAACATGATGCCCGCTAGCAGCCTCAGCTTTTGTAAAAGCACACATTGTGATGTATAATGTTTGTAAAAGCTTTTCTTTCTTATTTTTAGCCTTTAACTGTAGCTCATTTTTGGCATTGAATTCTACACATTTGACCATGTTTAGCCTCACTGTTATCCTAATCAGCAACACTGTAATGTATGCTTATGATTGTATATATTGCAGATTACATTTACTGGATGTTGTCCAATATTTTGGGGGTAGTCATGGTGTCAACTAAATGGACACTGGGTCCAGACAGCCTTTCTTTTTAAGGGGAAGTCTGTCATTGTCTGAACTCTGCTTTACCAGATTTTGTTGGTTGCATCCTAGATCCTTTAAAGTGAAGTCTGTTAAATCAAGGATATACTGTATAGGGTTGAAGGACATTGATAATAAAATTAAATTATTTTAAAATAATATTTAAGGAGTTGGTTTTTACAAAATAGATAAGTGGAGTGGATTGGAAAGGTCACAGTTTGATTAGTCCTGCATGTAGTGCTTATCTTGAGACTGTAATTCTAATCTTCTTTTTTTGTTATTGCTGTAGTTTACTAGAAACAAAGAAAAAAATGTAATTCTAATTTCAACTGACAGTGCTGCTCTTATTGTTAAATAACCGTTGATCCTGGGCCTGCTTTGTGCTTTGACATATGCCTGTTTTCCTTCTTTAAGCTTTACAATTTCCCTGCAGTGACTTCAGATGATTAACTGACAAGTTACCCATTAGCATTTTGATTTAAGGGAATTTGGAATTAACATATGAATTGTGTTTATAGATAATACAATGCATACTGTCCTATATATGTGTATATTCACATAGCTATTAAACTGGTCCAGCATTGTTTTCAAACTAGAGGTACTGTCATGTGAAACGTGTAGGTCATAGCTGCCTATGACATGAGGCATTTGAGAACAAAGCAAGGAGAAATTAATTAGAATGCTTGGCTGGCAGCCAAGAGCTATTGTGCATGCGGTTTGATCCATGAAAACACTGTAGGGAAAAACATTTGCATGATCTCAGAGTCTTTTGGGTTTAAGGGTCTTTTTGATTTCTTTTAAATGGTGTCTGGTTTTTGGTATTTACTCTATACATTAATTTATGTTATATTTTATAAGTTACCCTGCATAACGGTGTCTACTAAGCACATAATACATAACAGTAAATGGTCCATTTAGTAAGGGCTTTAAGGGCTATGTTCCAGCTTATTATAAAAAATACCTATATTTTGTAGTTATTCAATCATACATTGTGACACAAGACTGAAAAGGTGCTGAAATGGTGTGATAATGTACAGTTACAAACATCCCAACCTGACTGGTGTCTAGGTGTTTTTTCCCCCCTCAGATACCCAGTTTGAGAGTTTTAGTTTTCTTGTTACAGCTGGTATCTTCAATTGCAGTGTAAATAATTTTTTATTACCTGCAAAAAGTCCCTACCCATAAAGTCACTGGCGCAATACCTTGCTCTGCGATGTTGTAAGCATAGAAGTTTCTTTATTTCTGTTTGTTTTTCTGGGAGCTGATCCAGTGGAAGTCCTCTTCCGTGTCCATATAGGGACAAGGCTGAAGCTTGTCTGTACATACCCAGCTGTTTAAAGATTAGCTAGCCACAGTAGTGTTGGTTCTGGAGGGGAGTGTGCTGTTAGATAATGTAATATTGCCAAGGACAGAACAGGCTGCAATGCTTTAATCCTTCCTGAAACAACGTGTACAGAGGACAGAGCTGCTCTGTCACAGTTCGTCTTTGCAGTCGGAAAGTAGGCGAGGAGTTTGGTGTATATCAGAGCCAACAATGGCAACAGTATTTGGATACCAAGTCTTTCCTCCCCTTCAAGGTAAGGTAAAAATATGCTTATCTTCTACTTATAGAAACTGAGGAAAACATAGCATAATATAATATTCTTCTATGAAAACATAAGAGCGCTATATCTATTCATATTCATATATTGTTGTGGTCAACAAAATATTTTTTCTTATAGAAACACAAACTAGGATTTTGCAAATAAATGCAAGGTAGAATCCGTCTTCAGCCTGTAACTATCATATCATCACTGACTGCACACACTGGAAATATCATCCCAAACTTTACTGTGAAATAAACAGCTATCTGCTTTATTGAAGTTGGGTTTTCGTTTGTCTCAAGCTGGTTTCTCAGTTTATATTTATGTTTTTTGCAGCCAGTTGGATTTAATACTTATTCTTTTTAAGAATAGTTTAGTTATTGTTTTGTAGCAATTTGTGATTTTATTAAGCTTATAGTTAAGGTAAAGTCTGGAAAGATTATAGAATCTGGAAAATGGAAAGAGGAAGCCTTTGTCAGAGGGACACTTTAAAGTTAATCTGCTGACTTTATTCCTTACAGTGTGTATGTACATAACATGCCTGGTTTAATCAATATCTCAAAGTTGAATCAAATGTTATTTATTTGAGTGTGTATGCAAAATGTATTTATTTCAAATGAATTATGATGGGGAGGCATGGTGGCTCAGTGGTTAGAATTGCAGCCTTGCAGCGCTGGGGTCCTGGGTTCAATCCTGAGCCTGGGGTGCTATCTGTGTGGAGTTTGTATGTTCTTCACGTGTTCGCATGAGTTTCCTTTGGGTGCTCCGGTTCCTCCCATGGCCCAAAAACACGCACGTAGAAAGTTGTACCCGGTACGAGTGTGTATGTCCCTTGGTCTGTGTGTGCACTGTAATTGACTGGCGTCCTGTCCAGGGTGTATCTCGCCTTGCACCTGTTACAGGTCGGCATAGACTCTGGTTATCCCTCATCCCTGAATTGGAAGTAGTGGTTAGAAACATAGAAGGATGAATTATACAATTTTATGAAAGCAGCCTATCTATAATCAGAATATTGTTTTATGGTTTTGATCACCATATTATAAAAAATCTGAAATCAGTCCAGAAAAGGATGATGAAAAACATTCCTGTCACAAAGGAGTGTCCTCCACGGATCCACTAAGAGAATTGAATCTTTTAAGTAGAGAAGAAAATACTGTATGGAGGAATACTGGTTCAAGTATTCATCAAATCCCCAAAGCCTTTGACAAAGTCAACCCAATACATTCCTTCAGAATCAATGGCAACATACAGTATGAACAACAGGAACCAAGCATATATATGGGGGGTGCATTTAAAATCGAGAAACAAAAGGCACTTTTTACACTAAGGGACACTGTAGAGCAGGTTATGCTCAACAGGATGTTCTTAAAGCTGATTCCCTGGTCTTTTTTGAAGAAACGACTGGATAAGATTGTTGGATCAGTTGGCTAGCTGCTCACAACCTGATGCTCTTATTCTTTGATGTTGACAGATAGCGGCTTGGAGCAGGGCGATTTGACAGAACTATCACCAACAGTGAGGAGCATCATGGCGGAGCCAGACTACATTGACAATGACTGTGATGAGTTAATCAAGCCCAAAAAGATTGTCAATCCTGTGAAATCTTCAAGGAACCACCAGGATCTTCACAGAGAACTCTTAATGAATCAGAAAAGGTAGGCCTTTAATAGAAAAGGTACATACAGTAATTACATCAATTACTCTTCTGTTATTTAAAAGTCTTCTTAACTAGTCCTCTAATTCCTGTTGCTTCAACCATAATCATCATGTATATCATACTGTATGTATGATAAGAGACAACCGTAAATCTGTAAACAGTTATGCATATTTGTATTGTTTAAAATATATATAATATATATCAAATTAATGCCATAAATCTGAAATAGTATGATGCAACAAGCATTTAGTGTCACTGAGTTTTATTACATTCATAAATCTTTTTGAATAAAATGTTTTGCGGTGATAGAATGCTTCTTCAATGTTCATTTGCAGATAAGACAATTTTGTTTTTTAAAAAAGCTTCAACTGAAGTTAAAAAATAGAGTTGTCATTTATATAATTGAATTTGCACTGCATATTTTGACATCTTTTAACTTCAGCAAACAAACTTTTCTTTCTTACCACTGACAAATACGGTTGTACTGTTTACACTTATAAGGGAGAAATATGTGGTTTACATTATTTGGGAAGAGAACTTAATTCAAGTATTTCAATTACATTTGATTGTGAAAGGAATTTTCAGAATAAAAAATACTTTTTTCTTTACTATATACTATAACAACACTTTTAACAGTGATAATACTTCTGTAATTGTAGTATATTGCATAGACTTTTTTATGTAAGTATGAAAAAATACTTTATGAAAAGGATGTTTGCATCCATACGTTCCTGTCTTTTGCCGAGAGCTTCTTTCATCTTCTCCAAAGGGACAGATGCTCAGGCGCAACCTCATTCAATACTTGGTTTGAAAGCACCCAGAGAGATGAGACTCTTTTCTTAATGATCTGTAGATCTTTGGTTTGCTTGCAGTGAAAGAAAAAAAGTTTTCAGTGTGACTTGTAAATATTAAGTGACTGGCGCCATAATTCTCCTCATACTGTACTGTTAAACATAATAATACAGCTTCTACCATAATTTGCTATGCTGATTTCTTAAATCAAATGTACAACCAAAGCAGTTTATTTATTTATGTTAGTAATGTGATGCATAACAGGATCATTCTTTGTATTGTTTTTCCTAAGAAAGAATTTGGATTGTTAGGAATGTGAATGTTGAGTACATAGATTTTGAACAGCATGTTTGTAAGAGTGTCCTATGATTTCTTCGTCATTTTCTTTTTGTGTTTTTAGAAATCTGTATAAAAACTCTGTAAAGAAGGTTAACTATTTGATTCTTAGAATGATCATTAATGTTTTACACAAAATACAACTTAGATTAATGTAGTTTTTTAACATTTGCATGATGTGTTTTGACATTTCGTATCTAGTTCAGTGAAGGTATTTGTTTTCTAGCGGATATGCAGGATCAGTGCAGACACTGTTTGAACAGTAGGTTAATCTAAATCTGTTTTCTCTGAAATGGATAATAAAGTGGGCAGGGAGGGTTTAGTTTTTATGGCTTACTGGGAATATCTGTAAAGCTGAAGGGGGAGAGGCAAGGACAGACATAACAAAACAAGCAGAAAGATCAGCCAGTTTCATTTTTGATCTATATTAATAGGGATAAATTGGAGCCTCTTGAATGCATTGTAGTACCCACGTTTGCCTTACATAGGGCAGTGCATCATTTGCACGTTTCCTGAATAAATCTTTATGAGTGACGGATATATCCTGTGACAGTGTGGTTGTTTGAGCTGCCTGTTTCACCGGCGGGAGGTCGATACCTCTAGCTGAGGTAGAGAGCTGACGTGTAGTCGCAGAGTAGTGATACTGTAACCCGCAAGAAATGTTAAAAGTATACGTATTTCTAAGTGAGGGTTCAAAATCTCTATCAGAGAGTAGAAAAACAGACGTCCGCAATCTGACGACTGGTCCCATGGTTCTGAGGCGAACACAGGGAGATTAAGTGAGAATGTTATATAGGGTTTCATGAAGACCCAGGTTGTGCTGATATACATTCTCATGCTGAACTAATGAGAGAGGGGGCGGCTAGAGGACCGTCTAGCAGTGTACAGTGGGAAGTCCTTCCCCACTGTCACAATCCCCTTAAGCTAAGTGTATGTTTGCCTTCTTTGACTTCAGTGTGTGTATCGGTGCTGCAAGAATCCGCAAAAAAGTTCATGTCAATAAAATGCATTGTTTCCACTTATGTCTCACTGTTGAAACCATGCCTGCTGTGCTCTTCTGTACTTGAGGGTCACATATTGTATCCTTAACCTTGAGACTGAAGGCTGATAATGACAATGAAGACAGGTATTCAGCAAGATCTATATTAAAAATTAAACAAGGATTGTTACAGTTTGTATAAAAAAAAGTTCATTTTTGAGTTGAATATTTTTATTTTTATTAAAATTTAATTTAATCTGGCATTTGAACGATCCAGCCATTGAGTGGCCTTCTAATGCAAGCTTCGCCCTATAGTCTGGACAATAGCAGCCAAAAACTTGGCCAAGCCAGTTGGGTTTCCACACCACAACAACTTCCACGACTTGTTGGGTGCCTGTGAAGTTGCAGTGTCATCAGTGAGAGCTGCATCACTCCTCTAACTGATGCTGTTTTACTATACACGCTGTGTGTGGTCCAGGGGCATAGTTTAGAATCAAAGATGAAAAGATTCTGTTTTTAAACAGTATGAGATATGCTCTAATAAAAGAAAATATCATAAACCAATTAGATATTTTTAAGACTTTGTGGAATTGACATAGGAAGGACTATAAGTGACCTGCAGCCATTCAATTTGTGTCTAAAATAGCAACATGCATACCTGCTTAATCAGTAGTTTGGTAACCTTGATATCAGCAAATTTCTCATTTGCTTTATTAAAGTATATTGTGTCCTGCATCAGGTGCTTCTTCAACAGCACAGCCCAGTGTGATCCCACATTCCTGAGACATTGTGTCTTGTGTTTACTTTCTCTTTAATGGAAGGAGATTCAGATTCCACAGATGCCATTGATGTTGTGCAAACTTATTGTTTCAAAGGACAGTTCAGTTCAAGGTCGTGTTCCTGTTCTATGAGTTGTTTTGAATGGATACCCTGAGTGTTGCCATAATGCAAATAAAAGAAGAAAAAGGCTGGCATGCTGAAATAAAATGCATTGTACAAAGTATTAAATACAGGTAGCACAAATGCACTTTATAGATATTAAATGGGAGGCACCAATCTAGAGGCGATTCTGTGGACTCTTTAAATTCCAGTTAAAAACATGAGACAGACCTCCTGTAGAATACAAGGGAAGTGCTGTCTCTGCAATGTGAGAAGGATAATGAAGACTTAAAAAAAATTTCAAAGAGGAGCAAGAGCAGTATTTAGGATTGAACACAGGAAGTACCTTTTATACAAAATTATTATGTTATACTAAGCCATGCTTTTGAAGCTGATCTCCCTGGGAATCTTCAAGATAAGCTTTAACTGCAACAACCAAGTGAGCACAGTGAATTGAATGCTCTTCTCTTGTGTCCTTCTTTGAATTAATGTCCTAACCTTTTCAGAAGAATGTCTGAAACATTAGGGATGCAGAACAGTAATTTTCTAGTCAGCCTGCAGCAGATACTTTTTTATATGCCACAATTTTGCAAGCGTTTGAACCTACTGGTCAAAAGGCCCTCCAGATTATGTAACTATTGCAATGAATGCTGTGGTTAGTGATGATTGTGTGATTGTAACATATTCATAGTGGTTTTCCTCTGTCATCACAAAATCAGTACAGTAGTTATTGCACTGAATTTACATATTGTAATGTTTTTGCTTGGGACATTTGTAGCATATACTGTATAGACCCACTATATATGCGCTGAATGCAAAAATTTGCTCTCAAGATCGTTTTAATTCCTTATTTACAAAAGTAACATTTTGTAATCCTACGCAACTTGAACTTCAATTGTGCTCATATTTCAAGTTCATGTTTTATTTCAAACATCGCGTGTAATAAAGTGTAATAAAGGAACAAAAGATTAATTACATTGGACACTTGAAGATGAAAAAAGTAATATTTCAGTTCTGTAGCCTTCTTTAGACAACTATGCTAAAGTTGTTTTTTTCTTATTTTTACTTTAAGTATTTTTACACATTCCTTTGTTTTTTTTTATACACTGACTCAGTGCCCCACTTCAGCCTCTACAGTGTAACAAATCTGTGCAACTGAATGCTGCACACTGGAATCATGCTAATCCGAGATGAACGAGGTGCTCCCTCATCTTTCACTGAAAACTGAAAATCTTTAGAAAAGTAGAAATGGATTGAGGTGAAAGGCCACTAGGTTGTTGTTGGCCAGTTTAAAAGATTTTATCTCCTTCAATTGAAAGCTGTTGGAATGATCGATACGATATCATCCAGCTTCAAAACTAAAAACAATTTGTATGAAAACTAAAAAGGAATACTTAAAGTAAACAATCAGCATCAGTACATTTATCATGTATTTTGCATTTCCTTCTGTATACAGTGTATCCCTACTGAATTTCAGAATCTCCCTTGGGGTACTTTTTGGCAGACAGGCTTAAAAGAATTGATTCACAGAAATTTATTTTTAGACATATTAGGATTTTATAGTACCATGTGAGTCAACCCTTTTAAATCTGATAAATCACTAATGTAGTGTCCTTTCAACATGAGATTGTGGTGTCCCTGCTGAAGTGTGTTTGGGGATTAAAAGCCTTTTAAGTTCATCTCAGCACAGAAAAGTAAATCTATTTTATGTAACATTTAATTTACTTTGTGGCAAATGAACTTCTCTCCTCATTGGGCTGAAGTTGGAATCTGTGATTTAAATTTCTGAGTTTTAATTAAATAGATTTTTATGGAATTTGGATAATTTATAGACTGGAGAGATAATTGTGGCATTACATTGCAAAAAGGTGTTGGAGAAATATTTTTTTTCCTTAGACCTTTAAAAAGTCCTTCATTCATAGTGTATTTATTTTAAAATACAATAAAATATATAATTATTCCTTGTGGTTAGTGTAATCCACTATCAAAGGATTTCTTCACTATATTGCTTTCTCTCTGTGCTGTACTGCGTACTGTATTATCTAAATTTCCTTGAGCTACAGTGAAAAATATTTTGTTCTCACTTGAGGAAGGTCTGTCATGTCCTGTTTTTTTTAAAAAACAACTTGAGTGATTTTAGTAGTCTATTTTTTGTTTGAACCTGTTATTGTCTGTGAGTTAGGTTTGTATTACCTACAGTGAAAACCTATTATTTTTTTGTAAGGACAGGCCTACATTGCTTCTGTTACATAATGCTATTTCTAAAGGAGATCATAATAACTAAAATCTAAAAGAAACTAAGAGAAAAGAAAGTGGATAATCAGAAATGAGCTTTTGTTAAGAGAAAAGTGAAAAGCTGTTAAGAGAAAATGTATATACATGTAATTTTGTGTATGTTAAGATTTTGGGAGCTACAGTGAGTGGTGATTTTTTTGCTCTTTTCCTGTTGTTAAACTACAGTATAATATAGTGTCGCTGCAAGCAGCTTTAATGTCTTGTGCTGCTTTACTGTCAGAGACAGTAATGAACTGCACTTTAAAAATAAAGTTACAAGAAATACAGTTTTGAAGAAATGTAAAACATCAGTAGTATTTCACTTTTATTTCCTTTAAGCAAGCCATTGATTGAGTACTTACCACTAGTGATCTTTAGTCTTTTCTCAATTTCCCTATAGTATTGTACATTACGAAGAATACAATCTAAATGTGGCATTCTTCAAATTGTCATGTTTTGACATGAGACTAGTATACATCTTGTATGTCAAACCCTTTGTGCAGTTTTATTCGAACAGATAGGGTAAGCAGAGGTAGATGTGAGCTTGTTCATGATGTGGGTCGATAGCTATTACTCATTTAAAATGCTTTAAACTATTGCTTCTTGAACAGTCGATCAAAGGGTCATTACAGATCGTCCCTTTGGCATACCATTGTTAAAAAGATAAATGAACATTTCCAATTCTGAGGGAGGATTACAGAAACTGGGGCAATCAGGATTATGGGAAAGTGGCAAATGATCATTTGCATTACATAACACACTATGTAACAGCCAATAGACTGGGACAAAAGTCCCATCGTGTATCCTTTCCTCACTGCCTGTTTTTGTGTCATTTATCTTTCTGTTGAATTTAAGTCTCACAGAAATTGACAGGAAAACAATGTAGGTCTGTGCAGTTTCCTGTGGATTCTACTGTGGAGGGGAACTCTGCACATGGCATGATTAGTAATCACAGTGGTGCCATAGGAATTAGCAGTAGCCTCTGGCTCTACACCCCTGAGTCTCCACTATGTGTCTTTTGAGAACATTGAAGCTGGTTGTCAACTTGACATTTTATGCTATTTCAGACAAAATCTGAACGGAATCCTTTGTTTACAGCAGATTTCAGAATGAGGAATTGTTACAGATAATTATTATAACATCTATTTAGCCATCCATTTTCTTGCTGCTGTATCTAGTACAGGCTCATTGAGATAAAAGTCAGAATACACCCTGTACAGGACACCAGTAGAGACACAGGGCACACACATACACAAACACAAACACGCACACACTCACACCAGGGCCTTTTCCCAGAAGCCACTTAACCTACCAGTCTTTCTTGGGACTGTGGGAAGAAACTGGAGCACCTGGAGAAAACCCACGGAAACATGGGGGAGATGTTGTAATAACAAATTGGAAATACAGATTTTAGCTGTGATATTTTTTTTGTGTTTAGTGGCAGAATAAATAAAATAGTTTCGTTGACTGACCTGGTCTTTACTTTAATTCATTTAGGGGCCTGGCCCCTCAGAACAAGCCTGAACTGCAGAAGGTGATGGAGAAACGGAAACGAGACCTGGTTGTGAAACAACAGAAGGAGGAGGAAGCCCAAAAGAAGAGGACTGACCTGGAGATCGAGCTCATGAAGAGGCAGCAAAAACTGGAGCAGGTGAGGGGCTGACCAGTCACTTGGTTGTGTACCTTAATGAGTAACCTCTGCTCAGAGTCATGTAACTATGACTTGAGTTTTTCTCAGCTCCGATGAGGGGGCAAGTTTAGGGCTGGAAGGTGCCCTTATTGTGTTTGCACACCAGTGACCTCCCTCTGAACTTTCAGTGTTAATGAGAGGGAGTAAAGTCACTGCTGGGTGTGGGGAGCCTAGATTAGTGCCAGCTGACGCATCCAAAATTCAGTTGCATGGAAGGATAAAGAGTAAGCAGTTCCATTTAAAATCCATTGATTTGGATTATCATGTGAAAGTGATTGCAGCGGTTTACGTGTAGAAACACTGGTCTGGATTAGTGTTTGGGGAACAAAATGGGGGGGGTATGACATAGCAGTATAAGCTCCTTCTTTATTCGATCAATACACAATGGACATGTATCCCACGGGAGTAATTCAGCAAGTGGACTTTTGTCATTTATTTCGTGTCTGTTTTTTTTTAGCATGAACTTGAAAAACAGAAGATGGAAGAAGAGCAAGAGAATACTCCAGAGTTTGTCAAGATGAAAGGAAACCTGAGGAGAACAAAACAGGAAGCCGAGCATCAAGACCACGACACTTAAACCAGCACAAGGAGTCCCTGGCACTTATTGACAACATCCACATCCGGCGGGAATTTTCCAGTTGTATAGGTCTTGTTTCCTTATAAGCAGGAGAGACTGTAGATTAAAGATCCCAAGCAGCTTGTATTTTTGGAGGCTTACCAGTATTTACTTCATTATTGTCACTGAAGATGGGCAGTTGTGGGAGGATCAGTTTGCCACTATCGGGAGCAGATGAATTTCAGTTGAAACTAAAGTTTGTTGCCTTGAGAACAGAACTTAAGAATAAAGCCAGAGAAAGCTACTTGTATTTTCTTATTAAAGAATGGAAACTTGGACACTGGATGAACTCTTGGAACTGCATTGAAATGTTTGTCAGCCAAATTCAGTGCTGTTAACGCAGTCTTATTTATGTATTATTATTTTTTGCCTACATAGGAGGTTAAAATGTTAAGGTGTTTTTGTGTGTGTTATTTTCTAAACTGAAAAAAATGTTTTCTTCTAATTGTGGAACCTAATGAAGAACCATTTAACTGTGTAATCACATTGCTTGCTTTTTTTATTCTTTCGTTTTCCCTCAGCGATTCCTGTTTTACATTATGCTAGAACTCCAGGTGTGGGAGTGTATATAAAAAATATAAAGTTTTTTCTTTATATATGTTTTTTTATTCAAATAAATATAAGGTTAAAATTTGAATTTTATTAGGTTTTACCCTTGCCAATATTTCTATCCACAAAATATTTGGAGTTTTGGCTAAATATAACAAGAATTACAAGGAAATGCTGTTAACTTTTAACATTTTGTAGAAGTTCTGGTAAAAGCTTTTAAACTTCACTGCTATTACAGTTTGGTAATTAACTTGCTTTCCTTTTGTTTTTTATTTGTCCATGGTAGCACATTGTCTTTAAATAAAGATAACTTATGAATGGCGTTCTTTGGCTGAAGCTCAGATTTCCTGTCACTATTAATATTGGCAAGACTTTGGAATGGAGCTCTGCTGACTGAACTCAGTTCTCGGAAAGAGTTCAGTCTTGTTTTAGTCTTGAGAAGAGTTGTGTGAAAAACAGCATCACTTTAGTAGTAGTTCGCAGTAAAAAAGCTTTTTTTAACAGCTGAAGCAAGTTCATCTTATGACCTTGCACTTTTGTATACTTCCACATTGATTGAGGAAATGTTAAAATCAGAAAAAAATGTCTTCTCTCAATGGTGCTGACTCCGTCAAGTTCACTGAACACACTTCCTCTCAATGTAACCTTTTTGGTCTTGTTTTTGAGAAGTAACCTTCCCTAAAACGGCTGAACTTGGAGCTCCATAGTTGTAATTTGCCAAGTTTACACATTACAGTAAAAACTATGGTACTCAACATATTGAATTCACTCTACTGGACAGTGTATTTCTCTTCAGTGACCATTCAGTGATACCAAAAGCCTACTATTTTGTATTTTCTGCTTAAGTTAGACCAGATTTTAACTTGCTGTGTTCTTTACATCTTTTTTGGTATATGATTTCAGAATGTAAATATTTTCCAAATTCATTAAGAGCTTCAGTTTGTTTTGACACATGCTGCTTCCTGTTGCTTTTAAATTGTGTATTAACATTTCAGGACGTTTCTATCTTGTTAGAAATTGTTTTCCCTCGGTGAAGATGAGTGTTACATTCTACTGAATGTCCGTTTCACAACTGTAATCTTGAGTATTTTCAGTGAGGTGCATTATTCCCCAAAGACAATGTATTAATCTAACATTTGATTATATATAGGATTGCATTTTTTTATCCCGTGCTTGGCAAAATGCTTGTGATGCACATACCCTTTTTAAGTAGTCATGGTTAGTAAATAATAATAATAATAATAATAATTATTGCTTACACTTATATAGTGCTTTTCTGGACACTCCACTCAAAGTGCTTTACAGGTAATAGGGTCTCCCCTACACCACCACTACTGTGCAGCATCCACCTGGATGATGTGACGGCAGCCATAGTGCGCCAGAACGCTCACCACACATCAGCTATGGGGAGGAGCTGGGGAGGAGAGCAGAGAGTAATGATGCCAATTCATATATGGGGATTATTAGGAGGCCATGATTGGTAAGGTCCAATGGGAAATTTGGCCAGGACGCTGGGGTTACACCCCTACTCTTTTCGAGAAACGCCCTGGGATTTTTAATGACCACAGAGAGTCAGGACCTCGGTTTTACATCTCATCCGAAGGACGGCACTTCTTTACAGTATAGTGTCCCCATCACTATACTGGGGCATTAGGACCCACGTGGACCACAGGGCCCCCCGCTGGCCCCACTAACACCTCTTCCACCAATGATCACACGTGTCACATTTTCTGTATGCAAAGAAACATGTTAGAATGACTATGGGTTAGAGTGGAAAGCTGTGTTGGTGAAAGCTGCAAAACAACAAAGAAAGGTTAAGTCCACACTGAAAATTTTGCCCCGACAATGTGCATTATTCCAGAAGATGAATTTACAGGAGTTTTTAGGAATGGATTTGATTTCTTTAGGCTCATATTTTTCTGGTGGAGAAACATTTTTCAAATCTGATGAATAGAGGGCTTCAGAGACAGATTGCAGAATAGCTCAGTTTAACCCCAACTAGGGTTAGGGTTAAGATTTTCACAGTACTTAGACATTTCTTAACCTCATGGCTGTATTTTGGGTATGGTAACCCTAACCCTAGTCTAGCCTGAAATGCATGCTCATTTTAATACCATTGTAACAGAAAGAAAGGCTGATGAAGCCTGCGAAGAGGTCTCCACAGTTGTGACATGGAAAATGTTTAATCAGTAGATATACATTTAGATATACATTTTAGTGCAGTGTTCATTCTCATTGCCTTCCCATCCCTTACATGTTCAGTCTTTGTAGACATTATACAGTACACAATTGGAAGTCATGTGCCCTTCACCTGCTGCTTGGCTTGGTGGTAAGAAAGTCACTTGCTTTATGTTGTAACAGAGTACATCCAGTTTAAAATATAACCCGAATCTAAATATTCTTTGGTTCTGTGCCTATGCAATTTAATTCATACTGTTACAGTGCTAAATGTTATGTTTTGGAAGGCATAATTAAACTGTTATTACTGATATTATGATTTCTTACTGATATATTTCAGTCTACATGATGTAAAATTGCAGAAACGTGGCACACAATTTTGCATGAGCTGTAATAGTTCAGTAGGTACTCCTTTGAACATTTGTTTCTATTTTGTGTTCTGGTTTTAACTAGATGCACACCAGAGATCTTATGTGACTTCAAACGGACTGGCTTGCGGAGTGATTGCAACAGACCCCTAGGGTCTCAGCTCTGTCATTTGAAGGTAATCCTTCTGGGAGCCTTTAATATACCAAGATGCTTTCTCTTTAATTTACTTGATGATAGTGTTCATCCAGTGCTGTGATATACTTCATTTACCCCTGTGAACCTTTTCATACCAGTTTCACACTTTATATGGTGTGCTAAAAGTGCAGCGAAACCTGCCTATGGTTTCCTGCTTTTGTTGTGAAAATAGTTCCAAGCAAAGACATATGTACTGTGCACACCCTTGGCAGCACTGTTCTGAAACTTGACCTTTTTTGTTTATATAAGTAACAAGAAAACCAGTCAGAAAGGGCTCTCTTTTGCAAGGACAATTTTTCTGAAGCCTACAAGGGGCAGAGATGTGTAACCTTAGGATATTATTAGCAACTGTATAGTGGCATGTGTATTACTGCAGTCCAATGGCTATGTACAGTAGCCATCTTTATAGTGTAGAATCAGTGGACAGATAATCATTTCATTGGACCCTTTTACACTGAAATTAGCAGCTCAGTTGATACAAAGAGGCCCCATTGTCTGCTTCTGTATGACTTCATAGTATCGAGTTTCTGTATTAAGATACAAGAGCAGACTGAAGCAATAATCCAGCTGAGGTAATTTGTTTTGTCATTTTTCCAGACAATGATGGAGGAAGGTGCAGAATTTTTGTGAGAGAAGACCCTAAAAAGCAGGCACTGACAGTTAAAATCCTCAAAGTTTTTTTAGCTCTCTAATTTTCATCAGGGCATTTGATCTGAATTAAATTGAGTAAGAAGTCTGCAGACCCTTTGGCAAACTAAAAAAAAATAGATTAAAGAACATTTGTTGTTGAGGTAAAAACGAAGACTTTTTTTTTCGTCCCTGCACACCACTCAGACCAGGACTTTGTAGCCAAAGAACACTAAAGGGTGATATAAACACCGTAAGAGATAATGGGAACATAATTAATGAACAGTAATTTTACCTACAGTAAGTACTCACAAAAGAGTCTAAAGCATGCTTCAGGTCAAAATAGGATTGTGCTTAGGTTTTAGGACATTGTATTTAGGATTAAGCCTTAGTATGACAGATACTGAAGTATTACAGGAAATACCTTTTGAATTGTTTAAACACTTTTTTTAAACACATTTTGAACACTTGATACAAATTTCTCACCAGGGACAGATAAACAGATATTTAATTGTTCTCAAAAGAAGAATTCTAAATTGGCTTTAATCTTTCAATGCTTACTAGAAATGGAAACTATGCCCACTGATTGAATTAGAAATGTTGAACCCTTCCACAAAACGGAGACGAAACTAAGCCAGGGTACTACAGACCTGTAAATTCCTACCTAATGTTGTATAAGTTATAGAGGGGTTAATTAAAATGAAATTGGAGGACTTAATATATATGGTATTAAACTCATTAGAGATCAATGTACAGTGGGTTTAAAAAGACTAATCCTGTTTTTCTTGTCAGTCTCCTTTGAACAAGCTACAGCAGTGATGGATAAAAGCTGATGATGTGGTATGTTCCGACTTTCAGAATGTGTTTTAAATTAGTTTTCAACATGAAAGGGTCAATCTGAAGTTTAAATATAAAAGAAAAGTAATATATGTAAACTGACTACCTGTTATTGCATACAAAACAGAACACTGGTAAGTGAAGAAATCACAGATTAGAGCAATGTAATTAATGTATTATGAAAGGGACTTGAATTTGGCATGCTGCTCTTTTTTAATCTAAATCAGTGATTTTGACTCTGGCATAATTAGTAAACTTGTGAAGTTTGCAAATGACATAAAGTTAGGATAAGCGGCAAACTCTATGTTAGACGGGAGGAAAATACAAAAAGGCTTAGCAACTGGATTCGGCAGACCTGGACAGGCACCTGACAAATTAAAGTGCAGAGAAGTGTAAAGTAACATACTCTATATGCATACAAGTAGCAAAAAATTCTTCCTATAAAATGAAATGGAGAAAGCAACTTATAAAAGAGATTCAATTGTTATTGGCTCATCATGTAACTGAAAAAGGACAAAAAATGGTATTGTTATTTGAGAAAAGGAAAAATTAAAGGTAGTCAAGTATGTTTAGATCATTCAATGCCTTACTTGAACACTGCAAACAATGTTTGGGCACTGCAGTGTAACAAGAACATTACTGCCTAGAAAGAAATTAAAGAAGGGAAAACAGTTGTGGGTGTAAAATGATACACAGAGATGTTAGATGAATTGAAACCAGGAATCTCTGAAAAGAGTCTTCCCAAATGGAATTGCCATATTTTCTCCTCAAACGGGGATTCCCAGTCCTTGTCCTGGAGAACCACACACCTGATGGTTTTTATTCCAGGCCAGCTCTCAGGTACACAACTGAATTATTAATTGACTTAATAAAAGAACTAACAGAAACTGTTTGCCTATTTTCAGATTTTTTTTGGCAATAGCATTTTGTAAATAAAATAAAATCCCAATTGCAAATATCCCAATCGTGCCACTCATTAAGGCTCATTAATTCAATTAAGGCTTTCATTGCATATTTAAGATGGGATGAAATGAAAACCAGCAGGCTTCTGGCCCTCTAGATGGCCCTAAAATGAAAGGAGTCTCATAATAGAAAATAACCTGTAGCTAAAATATCC